ATATATATATGTACATATATGTATACATAAATAAAAATCACAATCGATGCCAAATAGACAATCGATGCACAACTCAGCAACAGTGATCTGCTCATTCACTATCAACTCCACCTACCACCACGGATAAATATCTCAGCTACTTCAGAAAGAAGTACCAACCACAATCACATTTCATTGTTAATATGAATTCAAGCAATCTCCGTGACCCACCGTGCGGTATGACTCAGTGCCACAGACTTGGCAATCATCTCAAACAAATGGCGGCACATTTTCAGCGAGTTCACGGACAGTTCGGTACTTCCGCGGTCTGCACTGATCCAGACATGCACCAGGGCCGCGTGCAATGAGACCGTTGTGTCCGCAATGATATCCAGCGACTCGCAGATGTAGTGGTCGAGTAAAGGGTTGCCCCCGTCTGAGTATAAGTCGTCGGAGAGTTAGTTTGATGTGCACTTGTTAACGGTCTTGTTACTTCCTAGCCTGGTCAGATCTACCCCTTATCCTTTGGGGCCGGTTCAGTAGTGTTTAGCCCGAGTACACTCCATGCAAGTGTACTTTGGGCTCGAAGAGACATCAAGCAACTCACATACATATGATGTGTCAGTTATGATAAGTTTCCGTTTGGTTGTATCTGAATGTGGTTTCTGAATGTGGTCCTGTGGTTGATTTGTGAAATGACTCATAGGCCACAGTTGTCGTGATCTCATGGCACTACTACTTTGCATGTTTATATAAGTCCTATAGTTCTGTAAATAGCTACCAATAGAGATGTATCTAAGTAACGTAGAGCTTTATATGCCTTTCAACAAGACGTCTATATATATATATATATATGCATACCAGGTTTGGGGGGAACTCGATGACACGCGGAAAACACATGGACAAGTGTGCTGAAAGCGCCCGCACTCAACGCAGGCAATCCCCAAGTATTGCATATTATCCAAAGCAACCGTTCCACTGTAGTCTGATGGCAAGACAATGCGTGGGTATAAGGGTAGGTGGAAGGTAGGTAGAATTCAGTGTATGCATGAGCGAGTCTCTATAGATCTGTGAGAAGAACTGCACGATTAGATCTAGATCAGTATCGGTTGTGTAGATGTTAGTACTATACAGAGACGCACAGTTCTACATAACACGGTTCATAGATATATAAATGTACATTCATGGATCATTGTCAATCACACACATGTTTAAGCATACACATCTATTTAGAATATTGACCATAGCAGACTTGCAAGTATATATGTATATATATATATATAGTATATATATGTTCATATATACATTGAGAGAGAGCGAGAGAGAGATTACGTGTAGATATGCAAACAAAACATCGACCGCTGCGATAGTAATTCTTCAGCGTTTCTGCAGTTATACCGGTAAAAAGCGGTACAGTTGAAGTGGTTCGACGGTTTGATTGGTCAGACTGATGGTGGCCGCTAGTAGAGCTGCTTCACTGGCCTTGTCAAAGTCAACTCTGCGCATGGCTGTAGGAAACAGATGAGTGCAAAAGAGTGCTATTAATAGAACATGACTATGAACGCATGAGTGTTCTATTAATAAAACAGGATTATGAACGCATGAGTGTGCTATTAATAGAACATGACTATGAGCGCATGAGTGTGTTATTAATAGAACATGACTATGAACGCATGAGTGTGCTATTAATAGAACATGATTGAACGCATGAGTGTGCTGTTAATAGAACATGACTATGAACGCTTGAGTGTGCTATTAGTAGGACATGACTATGAACGCTTGAGTGTGCTATTAATAGGACATGACTATGAACGCATGAGTGTGCTATTAATAGCACATGACTTTGAACGCATGAGTGGGCTATTAATAGAACATGACTATGAACGCATGAGTGTGCTATTAATAGCACATGACTTTGAACGCATGAGTGGGCTATTGATAGAACATGACTATGAACACATGAGTTTGCTATCAATAAAACATGATTATGAACGCATATCTTCTAACAACTCACAGAGATATGACTACGCCAATTGTCATGGGCTTCACCACCCATAAACCAATACGTTATCCTCTAAACGCCTGTTGTTGCGAGGTTTACGGTTAACGGTTTCCGATAGTCCCTCTCATACCACTCGTCCCGTAACACTCACCCGCTTTAGTCAGGAAGGTCAGGACCGCCGCACTCTGCGTGTGCACTGTGGTGACGCCCTTGACCTCCACAGTGAACAGCGCTTTCCCATTCTCGTACCATTTCTTATCATCGTACTGAGACATGCCACACCCTCCCCCCATACCGGCTCTGATAGTGGACAAATAACCAGTACTCAACTCCTGGGCGACCGGTAGGTTGCGCACGCCATCCTCCAGCAGATTGCCCAGAGGCCCCCGAAGCGGTACTACTGCGTAACTGGGTGGTCAGAGTTTAAAGGGTTGATAGAGGATTAGTAGGGTGTGAAGGGGTAAGTATAAAGGTATGGAGGCGTCGGTATTAGGGTGTCAAGGGGTAGGTATAGGGTGCGGAGGGGTAGGTATAAGGATATGGAGGTGTCGGTATAAGAGTATGAAGGGGAAGGTATAAGGGTGTGAAGGGGTAGGTATAAATGAATTAAGGGTTAGGTATAAGGGAAAGAAGGGGTAAGTATAAAGGTATGGAGGAGTAGGTATAAGGGTATGAATGAGTAGATATAAGGGTATGAAAGAGTAGGCGGAAATAAGGTGGTGGCATGAGGAGATACCTTCGTTAGACAGCTTTGTAAACTATCAAGTATATGTACATATACATATGTGTACCACCATCCAAAGATGAGTCTTTCCTCTATACATTTGTGTAGAACTACCCAAAGATGTGTCTTTCTTCTTACCAATCCGTGTGCGCTTACACATGGGTGAGAGATGAAGTGTGTGTAACTAGTAGTGCAACCAATGTGTATATAGATACACAATACACATACACGTATGTGACCTCTCCTATACTTCTGAGTATACGTCCACATACACAACACCCCCTTCCCACATACATGTACAACCGATACATACATGTACAACCGATACATACACATACACAACACCCACTCCCCACATACATGTACAACATACATACACATACACAACACCCACTCCCCACCCACACGGACAACCCTCTCATGCGCATACCCGATGGGTGGTAGCGCATCGCGCGCACTCTTCTTCTTATTGGCAGCTACGTGCGTAAACGTGATCTTCAGATGATGCTCTGTGGTCAGCCGTGAGGGCAAGAGTATCTTAACCTCGTCCATCATGTACGGTTGCTTGTTGTGGTACAGTACTGATGTGTGGTATGTGCTCTGTTGTATATGAATGATGGGATCTGGTTAGTATTACAGGAGTGTACTGATATGTGGTATGTGCTCTGTTTCATATGAATGATAGGATCTGGTTAGTATTCCAGGAGTGGCTTTATGGCTGTGTCAAATGGACAGGGTTGGGGTGGGTGGTGCCTGCTGTTAGGGTTTGAGGGTTTGATGGTGATTCGATGTGTGTTCCTATTCGACGTGTAGTATGAGTTCACTGTACTAATAATAAAAGATCTCATGAGGTCAAATGAGAACGATAGCACTGATGTACGAGATCAATGGGTTGGAGGTGGTGTCTGCTGTCAGGGACATAGGGACATAGGGACATAGGAATATATATATAATATTTTTTTTTACCCCGTATACGCTCACCTGCATGGTATCAGTATTGGACTTCCCGTAGATGACCTTGGAGGGCTCCGCCCCCTCGTGTGCGAGTACCTCTATTCTCACGGCGATGTTTCGTGCATGGTTACCTCGCTGTCATTGGATCAAATGAAGTAAGCTCAGCTATCTCAGCTATGTCATCAGTACATATACATCAGTACATATACAAGCCATTGCATGTACACTGTCAAGCCATCTGACACGTAATATGAATTCATCAAGTGTCTGATTGTACCAACGAATGGGCGTGGGCCACGGACTCAAGATAGAATCCAGGACATCCACAACACACCCACCCAACTCATCAGGGCACATTTACAAGTGTAGCGCGTGTGTACTGTTTTGCAGAAGCCCACCTTCGTATGTCATACAGCCCCATTGGGTATGTCGTACAGTCCCATTGGGTATATCGTACAGTCCCATTGGGTATATCGTACAGTCCCATATATATATATATATATATATATATATATATAGTGTA